TTTTTTTTTTTTTCCTGGATTGTCCATCATGAAGGTCCTAGAACCAGATACAGAAGATGCTTGATGACCTCAAAACCAAAGTGTGCTATGTGGTGCTGCAGTCAGGAACAAAGACACTGTCTCCTGGCAGGGGTCAACTTTGAAAGAGAAGGCAGCACATCTCCATCTCATCCCTGTGCCAGTCCAAAGCAACGCTGCCTCTGCCAGACAACATGAAAATAAAATCAGGCCCGGGACTGTGTCATTTGCCAAGTGGAGCCATCAAACAGTGACACCCTCTACCAGTACAACCTGTTCCATACATGTATACAGCCATACAAGACATGGGCTGGCTGCTCTGCCTCCTCCTCCCTGTCCACAGAACTGTAACTCAGCTTTCTGCTAAGGCATAGGGCTCCTTGGGACCAGCTTTTGAGAACCATATCCATGAAGTTAGTGCTGGAGCTAGGACTACTGAGGAGAGGAGAACACATGGCATGTATTGAAGCATCAGTTAAAAATGAGGACAGATTTGTTACTTCCAAAATGTAGAAAGCCAGTATCTGGAATCACTGAAGGGTAAAGTAACCCCTTCTCTCCATGTAGCCTCATAAGCGTGAAAAGCATTAGGAGTTGCTGCGCTTCAGCATGTCTCGCTCTTGTTAGTTTAAGGGCTTCTCACTCAGGCAAAGCTCAGTCAACCATCAGGTGCTGTGTGAGGGCCACACCCACTCTCCTGTACTGGACTAAATGACCAGTTCTCCATTTAGGTGTAACCAGGGATTTTCTGTTCTGCTGGAAAGCACAAAACTGTGTGTGGTACATAAACACTCCATGGAGAACACATAGAAAGGTGAACAACAGGACAAGACACAGTCCACAGAGTCCACTCCTGAGGCCAACCTTCACCTGTCATCCACATTAGGCTGCAGTCATGTCATCAGGATTCAAAGCCATTACATAATATGTGGAGGAAGCTTTATCAATCGCATCTCCTGCTCTAGCCAGTGGAGAGAACAGGGTTTAAGCTGTTAAAATCATCATCTCCATCACCATCACCATCAAAAACATAACCTCGGCTTGCTTCACAGTCCCATGTACAAATGGTCCCCTTGAGCCACCCCACGCCCCAGAGCCTTCTGAGTTTGGAATTAGCCCTGCAGCAACTGTTCCACAGAAGCCCCTAAGGGTCACAAGAAGCTTTCTTAAAAACAGAAGAGTTCCAGTTGGATGAAACCGAGCTTTTAAGACTGGATTTTCAGATATACAAGAGGACAGGAAACAGATTACTTGTTTTTCTTTTCTTTCTCTTTTGTCTCTTCATATTGTTTTCTGAATGCAGCTACGATGTTTCTGCCAATGATAGAGATAACAGGGTGGCCAGAGCGGTAACCACCAGCAGTGCACCCTGGCCGCAGCTGGGAGGAGCAGCCATTGATTTTGTGGTTATGTGGCTGGACGCTCCAGCGAGACCATCCTTTTCGTAATCATGCTGTAAAAAAGAACGTTTTCATTATCAGCCACAGCATGTACCCACTCCATCAGGTTGTATTTTACCCATGCCCTCTACTCGCTTCCTCTCTCCCTAATGGCCAGCTCCTCGCAAAAAGCTGACCTGAGCTTTAACCACTGAGCTTAAGCTGGCTAACTTTTGGTTTCATGAGGACCTGAAGTTGGGTAAGAAGTGGATCCTTTAGATCAACAGCTGGCCGATGCTTGAAGCACTCCTTCACACTTCCTTTCTGATGGGAAAAGTCTAAGCCTGGGGGGTTAATGTTTAAGCCTCTATGTCTTTCCCTATGTCGCCCAACAATGACAATCTACTGGCTTCTTTCTGGCTCTTCCCATTAGGTGAAGGTACAGAAGAAGCATCTGGGGATGTGTATGGAGAGGCAGCTGGATCACAAAGAATGTCAGGGACAGACAGTCGCCAGAGCCTTTCCCCGAGTCCCTAGCCAACCCCACAGAAGATTTCATGTGAGGTCAAAGGAGCTGCAGATTAGGGTCCCTGTATCAGGAGGCAGAATCACTTTAAGTAACTGATTTCAGAGTCTCAGCAGGGAACAATGGACTTAGAGCAGAGGCTAGCTTTCTGGTAAAGATCACTAGTTGTGCATTTAGTTCTAACTTCGCACTGAATCTTAGTTCTGCACCTTGCTGCAAAGGCAGGTCAACACGGAGGCTGATGAGACTCTTTCTGTATCCAAGACCTTATTGGTATTCAGATATTACATATTATATACCCAGAGCCAAAAGTCTATGTCCTTATAAAGGTAAAATAACAACAACAACAAAAAAAAAATCACTTACATCAGAAAGACAGAGATGTGTATTGCCCGACACATTGGATTTCAGCTTCTGTGCCTGGAGAGAGACAAAGGTGAGAAAAGCTCTCAGACATAATAGGGAAGAGTAATTAATTATAATCCATTAATCAACAGTCTAGGGCAGAGTGAGATGATAAATACAGGAGCCACGACTGTGAGCCTGTGTGTAATTTACAACATTCAAGTGCCTACCTAATAAAGAGGTAGCAGGTAAGGTTAATTTTAATTATATATTTTATTTAACCAACTGTATTATCATTTGAACATGAAATCAATATAAGAAATTAATGAGATATTTGGCGTTCTTTCTTCCCAGCTCTGTGACTGTCCTATTTCAGAGCTCAGTAGCTGCCTGTCACGAGTAGCTGTCTCAGGGACAGCACAGTCAGGGCTGGGACAGTGAAGAGAGAGCTTTGATGTGGCAACTCATTTATCTTTCTGAGTGTTAATTTGAGGAAAGTGCTTTTTGCTTTAAAAAAAATAGACACATCCACGTATTAGTAATATGGGGACTCCTGGAAACCCTCTTCTTTGCTTATTTGCCAACCCCCAGGCAAGAAACGGCAAGGAGCTTTCAACATTCCCTAACACTGGGCCTGGGGCAGAGGAGCTGAAAGGACCCAGTTCCTGGGCTCATGGGGTTCCCTGTTTCCTGGCAAACAGTTCCACAGAGGGTTTGTTAAAGCATACTGCAGAGCCTCCGGGACCCGTGTCCTCCAGGAGTCATACAGCACTACAGACCCTATGGCAGCCTGAGTCAGAATGGCCCCGTGGTCTCATGCCTTTGAACGTTTGCTTCCCATCCGGTGAACTGTCAGGAAGGACTTGTTGCGGGAGGTGTGCCAGTGGGGTAGGTTTCAAAAGCCCACACCAGACAACTCTCTGTCTGTCTCTCTCTGCCTGCCTGTCTAAGTCTGTGGATCAGGACACGAAGTTTTCAGCTACTGCTCCAGTGTCACACCCACCCGCATGCTGCCATGCTCCCTGCCATGAGGATCCCGGACTAACTTTCCAAAACTGTAGCCAAGCCCCCAAGTAAATGCTTCCTTTTCTAAGTTGCTTTGGTCACGTCTCTTCACAGCAATGCAACAGTAACTGAGACAAATCCCAAAACAGGAACTCAAACACTGCCCCCCCCCAGGCAGCTGCTAGAGCACTGAGCACTGAAAGCCTTAAGCTCTCTTCCTCTTAGTTGGACCAACTCCCCCATTGGGCTTATGCTTGGTGGCAGGGGTGCTTCCATCACTCAGACAAAGTGCAAAGAACAGACCTTGAAAACTACCCACTCAGTACAACACTCATACTACAAACAGACAATTCAAGCCCAGAGACATTAAACGGCTGATGTGCCTATAGAGCCAGGATGCAACCAAGACTGCAGTGGATGAAAATATGCTCTTTCCTGGATCACAGACTTCTTCAGTCTTCGTCCTCCCCCAAATCCACACAGGAACTCTTCCCGTGATTCCCACCCTTAGCCCGAACAGCAGCGGCCCCTGACACCAATGGGAACCTGTTTGACGAGAAGGCAAACCCTGGTAAAGAGGCAACACCTGAGATTCAGGCGGTGCCTGGGCAACCGGCTCTGAGGGCAACCAGCTCTGAGGGCTGCCTGTGTGCTGTGAGCTGCTGTGACTCCCCAAAGACGCACGAGGCTAAGATGGCAGCACGCACACCCAAAGAGTAATGTGTTGACCATAATGCCACTGGGAAAGCATCATAATCTTTACCTATATTTGCATATGCCAGCCGTGAATATGAAATGGGAACCTTTAAGCAGGCTTCAAGAACAAGACACTGTGAAGCACCCGGGCTGTTCAAAGGTCACTAAATGTTATGTATAAGAAGATCAGAGGGGAAATTGGAAGCGGAATTGAACTTACTCAAAAGCCTCCTTTTAATCTATAATAATGGCACACCTGATCCACTGCTCGGCTGCCTAGAGAATAACTCGTAAAGCATCAGGTTTCATTTCTTGTCAAGTTTGGAAGTGTTTCCAGACACCCAAATGGTCCTAACACATTCCATTCTGATTTTCTTCACTAGGACATAGATAAAAGAGACAGACAATCCATTTTCTGACTGGTCTGGGGAGGCAGTGGACCCCTGGGCTGTGATACATTGTGGCTTCAAGCCGTTTCTGCAGCCTGGTCACGGCAAAGCAGCCTCTCTGTGGACACTGGCCTCCACGAGCTCGCAGCAGGGTGTCTCTCTCACCCAACTCGCACCTGTGAGCCTGGATTTGCTCAGCATACTTGTAATCTGTGATCCTGTCACTGTGGAGCCAGGGACAACCTTAGGACAATGTTTCCATGGTTAGGTGATTATGACAGGCCTTCCAGTAGCTAACCAGAAAGGGCTGCTATCTTTCTAGCTGTTTTCATGGGCTTCTCCACATGAATACACACCTGTGCCCCATCACTGAGGGCTTCACACCAAGTAAAGTGTTTATAAGCCAGCACTCAGGGAGGCAGAAGCAGGTGGATTGATGTGAGTCTGAGGCCAGCCTGGTCTACAGAGTGAGTACAGGACAGCCAAGGCTACACAGAGAAATTCTGTCTCAAAAAACAAAACAAAACAAAACAAAAAAATGTTTATAAGCTCTCCAACAGGTCACCATGTCCTTAAATATCTGTCAGCTCACGTGTCACCCAAAGAACAGCTGCTGTGATTATTTACTGGCTGAAAAATGCACTTAGAACACCCCACATCTGGAGCATCTATGGGCTCCTGCTCCCCTAAGTAGCACCTCTACCAGTTAGCTTGTAGCCTGGAGGACCATCCTGGAGCCTAACTACACAAAATGCTTAATACAAGTGAGAATGTGGTGCCCTACCCAGAGAGGCTTCCCGTGGTAGCCTTCCCAGGGCCAGCACTAAGGCCAAGGCAGGTCTCAGCCCTGCTGCCAGGAAGCACTTGACAAGCTTCCTGTTGAGGGCTCTGGTACTGGGGCTGTCACTGCCAGCGTAGGATAATGCAGTGATCCTGCAGGCGCCCCCAAACCTATCGGGGGACACTGTAAGTTATGCGGTATTAAAGAAAAGGTGAAGGCAGATGGCACTTGGACAGCAAAATTAAAGGCCTGCTCACAGGTGTGAGGTATTTTAAGCCCCCCTCCCTCCAAACCCATGATGAGATGCACGCCAAAGGATCCAGGCCTACCCTGGAATTAACTACAGGCCAAACGTCTAGTTACCCTGTCCACAGGTGATGAGCAGCAGAAGGGCAGAACTGGCCCCACAGGTGATGAGCAGGCAGGCAGGGGAGGGGCAAAACTGACCGCACAGCTGTGCCCAGTGGCTGGTGGCACGGTTAGGAGTCTTGTACTCAACATGAATCCCAGTGACTACTGAGGATCAGAAACAGCCCACTGCAGTCCCAGAATCTCTGTTAAGAGAAGACGGGTCTTAAAGCCCACTGTGTAAGCCAAGGGACTTGTTTCACTGCTGGAAACTGAGATGGAAGCAAGGAAATTAAAAAGAACACCCTACACACACACACACACACACACACACACACACACAACTTCTGAGACTTTGAAGAGAGAAAAATGAGCTTGAAAGTGGGAAACAGCTGTCATCACCAATGCACGAACAAGCAAGGCCAAGGGCTCCATAAAGACAGCACTGGCACAGGGTGCGGGAGGAGGGGCCCTGTGGCACCCTGCTACCCGATGACGGGGCATGCATCACCTGACTCAGAGCTCAGGCCGCCCACACCTACATGGACCCTGACCCAGTAGTCACAGGCTTCAAAATAGGGTATGTCTTTAAAAACTGTTTTTCTAAGGGTTAATTTGAACAATTTTTACAGTAGGCTGAAAATTTCTGAATTATTTAGTGTCTTCTGGGAAAGCGTATCCTATCAGCTCACTCCTAGTCCCGTGGTTTGGGTGAAGACTCCCAACTGCTTTGTAGAAAAGGTCCACAGAATACGTCCCTTGCAGCTTTCATCTCCAGGACAAACTGGGTGAACACAGGCTCTGAACGCCTTCCTGACATTCTAGAAAGCTGCAGACACCTGCCCTTAGAATCTCCACAAGCTTGTCCCTCCACAGCTGTGACAAAACCGTCCCCGGTGGTGATGAGTAAGTCCAGGCATGTCACATAATAGAATTTCCAGGGCCCTGCAACTGGGAGGCCAGACCTCAGCAGTCCCTGGCAGCAGAGGGTTAATAAATGCATTAGGTGCTGTTGACCTCTGGCACCTGGAGTCAGAGTGGCCTCTCTGCCCTTTACCTCAGGCGTCCGTCGGCATTTGGAGAGCCAGTCTTGGCGGTGGCAGCACTCTACCGTGGAGTACACAGGCACACGCGTGATTCATGGCTGGCAGTGGAGTCCCCTCCTGCTTCTGCCCACAGCAGGCTCCGCAGGACTTTGGGGACAGCTCAGGTTTGTGAGCAGCAGGCCTGGTCTGTTTATGGAACTGGAGACTTAAAAGTGCACCCATGCAGAGCCTGGCCTTTGCTGCCCCAGGACTTCATTTCTGTGGGGAAGCCAGTGTTTAATCTTGGGTTTTTAGGAAGCTGTCAGCCAGCAGGGCATGGAACATTTCTCTGTTCTCCTCCATGCAGGAGAAAGCCGTTCGTGCTCTGCTCTAACTCCAGGAAATAAACCAGAAGAAACCACCCTACCCAACAGCAACAGACTGTCCAGGCTACAGCCAAACAGTCATAATTAATGTGCTCTGGTTCTTCTCTCTCTTGCTTTCCTGATTAGAGTTTTGCTATATTAGGAGCCTGTGTGCTTAATGACAGAACACAAGCAATAAACAGAGAAATCGCAGGCTATAAAACACAATCAACTTTGCTCTCACTCAGTACCTGGCTGCATGTATCGCAGTTGTCAATACCAGCTCCTTAGCATGGGAGCCTCCTCTACAGCACCAACGGGACTCTGGCTGGGGAGACGTTCTGAGAGATCTTTCTCGAGTGTCCAGAAGTGAAAGCCTAGGACTTGAAGCCACTTCTCAGTTTAAATATGCGTATTGGACGTTCTCTTGTGAGACCAAACAGAGGGAGGGAGGTGTGCGCCTGAC